ATTATTATTATTATTATTATTATTATTGTAGAATTTTGAAAAATAGCAAAGTAGCAAACACATCCATAGCATATGACATAGACAAAAATAGTTGACAGGTCTCCTTGCTTCAAAGTTACAACAGCAGGATTACAATAGTGGAGGATATGAGTGAAAGGATCGCCTTGCTATACTATGCCCAACACAGGCTGTGAGAAAGCCTGGACTCTCCACGAAGAGTCCAACTTCACCCAAGCAAAAAACAAAACTTTAGCAGTGGATTAACATAACTGCCTCCACAGATAATACCGTCCAATCCCATTAAACAGTCACCCCCAGAGAAATGGATAGTGGCCGCTTAATGGGGGCTGGTCGTTTAATAGAGGTAAAATCAATAGAAGAACCCTCATTAGGAATTTGATTGTTGGCCACCTAATAGGGGATGGCTGTTTAATAGGTAGCCGTTTAATAGGGGTTGGACTGCGGTAATATTTTGTTCTTCCTTTGAAAAAAAGAAAGGCGATCAAGAGTTCCAGTTTCGTTTGTGGGACGCAGCACACTGTGGGACAAAAAGTGAGTACCAACTCTCCTATGGCAGCCTTATGGGATTGTTTTTCCTCTTAATCTTGTCTCCTTTTACGCCAATATTGGAACTTAATACCAAATAATACCAATAATACTTAAACTTTGGTATGTATGCCAAGGTGTGAATTAACGCCTTTTGCATACTAACTTTGAGATAAAAAAAAAATGCCTGCATACCCTTTTATAATCGTATTGAGACTGTTCTTCGCCATTGTCACAAAATTTCATCGAGTAAGCCTGGCAAGAGTTATAGAAGAATGCATTGCATCCTGGGTATATCTGGTAACCAAAGCAAATATGGCGTCCCTCAGATCTCAGAGGACAGTTTATATAAAAAGTTGAATGTTTTGGATCCGAAGAAAAAACTTGTTAAGGATAGTTTAGTTTATAATTTCAAAGGAATGATTGTAGATTCAATGCATCGTATTTGCTTAACCTCTCTACACGTCTGATATTTTTGACCAATGAAATTATAAAAAAAATATGTTGACTTTGCGGACAGCTGTCAGTGACTCCGATTTCTTCTTACAAAGAGCTGAAATGTAAGGTCATCTTCAAGCCGGAGGAGAGGGGAATTTGATGGCAGGTGGTGCGTCTAACCATAAACAACCATCAACTTCTAGCTGTGAAGGGCAGTTTCAAATTGAGCCTTAAAACCTACGTTTCAAGGATTATAAAATGATTGTGGAAGCATCAGCCAGCCGGAGAATTAGTTAACTAGTACGATCCACCATTCAAAACCTATTGCTCCATCTTCCAGTTTATTTTTCCGTAAAACATGTCTTCATAATACATCATGCATTCAGAGCTTTATCACGCATTTTACATGAAGTATATCCAGATAGACAAGATGAAGAGCGCCAAAGACGTCACCTTCGTCTGGGATCTGGGGGCGTTGACCTTCCGGGAAATTTTTGTCTTATTAAGGGGATGGAAAATGCCATATCCTGCATCTTCGAGGGAATAGTTGCTATGATTGCATAACTACACTGAAAAGTTACGGCAAAATAATGAGTAGGATCTAACTACTTAGCTGCTTTCATCACATTCTGTGTCAGTCTGGATTAACCATCAATTTTAAAAATGAGTTTTCCTGCTCGGATGACTAAAGAAAACCACGTCATTTTTGACATTCACGACTTTTAATCACAGTAATGCAATGCGTAACACACTATTGAGCCAGCTAATTTAATTATGAAAATGCTTTTTGGCAATTAATACCTTTTGTCCGGATTTTAAATGATCACTAAATTAAACCAGCTCAGACTGATTATTCTCCTCATCTGCACTTAATGACTCGAATTTAACACCGAGTGTGGTTGGTACTTTTTTTCATAGATAGGCATTTTATCTTTAGATTTACAGCGGGAATCTATATTGAAATCTGTCATTCATTGATTGTTGATTGGCATGCCCAAGCTTGTAAATTTAGCTCATTTGAAATTTGATCATGGCACTATCTTTAGGCTGGTGAGTTCATGTTGTCTCATCACATGTATGTTTGAAATAGCATCGGCACAATGTAGGTCTATTACTGTACTTTATAATGCTTCATTTCAGGTCTAAGGTATAAGATCACTCCTTGAAATTACATCCTTTTCATCAAATTAGAAGATTAGCTCATTTTTTTACAGACATGTCCCTAAAAATAACTGTCTTACAGTCAACTTGTTGTGTTCTTTTAGATTTTTCTCAGCCTGTTTTTTTAGGAGGCCAAGGCTTATCAGTTTGCTTGTCTGTAGACTCAGACGAGCATCTGAGCCCAAATAGGATAAGCGATGGCTGAAAAACCTTATTTTGATCTGTCCGGCCTTAACTCCTCCCACTATGAAAATGAAACCAAGTGACAATACCATAAAGATATTAAGAGAACTTTAATTAAAAGTAATGGGAAATTCTAGTGGTCTTAACAATGGGAATTCCATGGTCACAGAGGGTATGGTTTGTGGTACAATATATTTTTTTCATGGCTATTATAAAACCACCATAATCTTAGTAGAAATTCATGCGTTTTTCAAACCATACTTTTAAGGTGGACTAACACAGTTTTCAAGTGCCTATGCCTAATTCACCATTACTTTTTTAAAAGTAATGGTGAATTTACAATTTACAATTTTACAATTTTACTACGAGATTACAATTTACGTCACATTGAAATGTGACGTAACTTGTTATCTCGTAGTAAAATTGAAGTGTAGTTCTGAACCCTTGTCTGTGAATCTGGTATGGATGACAAACCAACACTTGTACAGTCGATAATCTACTTCTCGAAGCAAGCGTTTGTACCGCATAGAATAGCTAGCAGAATGAGTATGGATAAAGACATCTTGTATTCTGGAAAATGTTTGAGAAATTCGAGATTTCCTTTACCGTGAAATTATTAACTGAACTATCATCTTTACTATTAATTTTTCGTTCAAATTAGAAAAAACATCTCTCGAATG